CAACCAACAGTTTTCATCTGGTTCCTCATCAACTTTTTTGGAGAGCTTTTTAGTCGCTCCTCATCATCACGCATTCGACAGGCATTAGTATATTCATGTTTGTTTTTTCGCGTGAGAAAGTAGAGGGTTTCCATAATTCTAGCTTTCATTTCGTTAATTGGTCGGTGTCTCGCTGGTTTTTGAGGAAAAAAGAAAGCTTGCGCAAGAGAGAGTAGCATGGAACTTATAACCCACGTTAGTTCTTCCGCTCCTTCTCTTCGGTGGTCTGACTGCTGTAGACGCTTACCTTTTCCCTTTTGCATTCGCGTGAAATTACGAGTCGCAGACTCCTAATCGTCTTTCGCATTAATCCGGACGAGAAAACGCGCGTGCGACTCACCATGCGAATGGCTGAGGAGACTAGAAGAGGCACGGAGATGTGGCACGGAGATGAGGCACGGGGACCAGAACGAATCGCGTACTGGGAGAGGATGTTTTATACTAAGCGGTCCTTCTCGTCTTCGGAAGGCGTGGATGTGAAAGTCTTTCCATGACCTGTTTCTCATTATGACACGAACGGGTTTTTGACATGAGCGTCCGTGTTTCCGTCAATCTTCTTCCAAGCTCTTCTTTTTCGCCGCCAAAAATAATTTTTCTCAATTTCTTACCCACGCGTAAGTTGCAGGGAACGGTCCATCGGGAACGATTTCCCGCACGTTCCATTTCCCGCATTTTATTTGTCGGATGGCAAGATGGCAAGCATTCCTCCTTTTTTTTTCCTAATTTACTTCCCACCCTCACGACTTTCGTTGACGTACGAACCTGAAATATCACGCGCTTTTCCCCTTCCTCGAATTCTACGAGTCCAACAAGCTTCGCACTAAACGGTCCAGCGCTTTCGAAAATTCCAAAAGCGGCGCCTGACTCACTTCTCCTCCATGAAGGGATTTCTCTTGTCTCTCATCCGTCTTTCATCCGTCTTTCATCCGTCTCTCATCCGTATAGAGAGCAGGAATACAGCCAGTCGCTTTCGTCCTTTCACTCGAGAGATGTCGCACTTTTTCCCAGGACTTCCACAACGGGATTCCCCCCCCCCCCCTCCCCCTCCCGTGCGGGGAAGGGAAGGAAAATCGTCGAGAACCAGTAAATCCCTTCGACGAAAACGAACTCGAAAGGAACGAATCTCTGCAGCAACGAAGAAGAAATTGTAAGGAATTCCCATTCGACTTACTTCCCGAAATGTTCGGAGCGCGAACGAGGATTTCAAGGACAGATTTTTCCCATTTCGGAGCATGTCGGCATATCTGGGTCGGAGAGAGTCGGAAAACGCCTTCCACGTCGTTCGACGACTGGTTCCGAACTGGTTCGGCCGAGGGGGAAGAAGAGGAAAGTCACATCCCGACGGATGACCGATTCGTCGCTCCATTCTCGTCGCGGCGAAGCGCTGCGACGATATTCGCGATCGCGATCGCGGCGAGGCGGTGCGTCGCGTCGACGATGGCGGAGAACCGAGAAAATTTCGCTGGAATTCGTGGAAGCGTCGAAAACTCGTCAACGCGGCTCGGGCCGGGGTGCGTCGGTGTTACTGCACTGAGGAAAAAAAACGTCTTCCCATGCCGGGAATCGAACCCGGGCCTCCTGGGTGAAAGCCAGGTATCCTAGCCACTAGACCACATGGGAGTCGCAGAGGAAAATCCGTTCATCCACCTCCTTGTTATGAATGCGGCAGAATGCCAGATAAGCGAAAATCCCTGCCACGCTTCAATCTCGCAGGTGCCTCCACGCGGGATGCGCGACGCGGAACAGTCGGAGGAACGAGACCCCCCCGGTCTCGGCACGAAACCTCCCGACGAAACCCGAAGATGACGTCATCGCGCCGAGGAAGGAAAGGAAGAATGGAGGTCGCGCCCCGTGTTTCGCGCGTTTCGGTGCCGACGAAACGAGTTCTGGGTCGTCCCGAGATCCACTTCCGCCCTCCACCACTCCCCCGACGCGAAGGAGTCCAAGAAAAACATTCCGGCTTTCTTTCGTGCCTTTCTATCTGGACTTCTTTCGTGGAGGCCGCGGGAATCCAGCGCATTCTCGGCGGCAACGAAGGAGACGGAGACGGACGGGATTCCGTGCACTTTTCGGATCGCCGACTTTCCCCGTTCGGACCGGGAGAAGCATTGGGGACATATTATAATTGCCTTGAACTTGATTACGTATATGAGCGATTCTAGCTGCATCTCGCTTCATTGCTACGAACTAGTTTTATCGGGGGACTAAACTAGATGGCTCACGCTCACCAGAGACGAATGGAACTACAAGACAGCGGGACAGTTGAGGACGTAATAGGTCGTCCCACTCAATTGTCGGTCCGACCTTTCCCCCCCCCCCCCCCCCCCCCCCCCCCCCCCGCCACGTGGAAAACGACCCAGCGACCGAGACCCAAAGGCACTCGTGCCCCGAGCGGGCAGGTTCAGTGCTGACTGACGTCATTAAATACGTCCAGCGGTTTTTCCTCTGGTTTTGGTCTGCACCAGATTCTAAGTCCTTTTCGGCACTCGAGATCTCAGAGAAGCGTCGAGTCTCTCTTATGAGAGTTCGCCGTTGTCATCTTAGGAGGAAACAGATGCTCGAATTTGCTCGTCTGTGCGTCCTGGATATCGAGTACCTTCCAGTACTTCCTGCACTGGATGAGTATTTGAGAACCCCCTCCCCCTCCCCCCATCAAAATCAAGCAAAAATTTGTTTTCCTAGTTCTGTGTGTATCTTATAACATTTCCTCGAGCAGCTGTAGCTGAGCGGTCGGGATCCGTTAAAGGCAGAGCGAACCAGCATCCCCCGAAACCGTTTCAGTTTCTCCACTCGGTTGCTTCGTATGGCGCGAATCGTACCGATTTGGGGATGCCCAAACGATCGCGCGTTCCCGCCCCGAGTCTGTGGCGGGAAGACCTCGAGGAAGTCGGTGGAGGTCATGCGGGGGCGTGTGTGATGAGGGGGGGGGGGACTTTGCAAGACGTATTATGAGGTTGTTGCAACGCGTTCGCGTGGTGCATGAAGCGCCGCCCTTTTCGACCGAAAACTGAAAATATCGACAACTTTAGAAGTGTTGTTTGCATATTAACGGCCTTTGGCTTGGATGGCGTGAGCTCGTCCATGCCTATGCAACTTTGCAGAAGTGAGCAGTCACGGAAGCGACAGTTCCGAGCAGACGATCGCAGTAGCCCCAGAATCTTCCATGCATTCGTATGCGTTGATGTTGACACGCTTCCGGCCACGTCAGGCAGTGATGGGAGAGACAGAGACCCAGCCTAGAAGAGACCGGACGGGAGCCCCGCCGTTCCAACCATCCACTGACTACGACGCGGAAGTATCCTAGCGTCAGGTCCCCGGATGACATCCATACCCGAATGGCGGGAGGATGGCATCCATACCCGAAAGGCGGGAGGATGGCATCCATACCCGAATGGCGGGAGATCCCCTAAGATGCCTTCCACGCTGGTTGGATAGAATCTTTCTGAATCGCCCGCCATCCAAGTGGCATCCTCGCTCACGGAGACACCCGTTGAATCCAAGACCACGACTTTTTGCGAGGCACAAGGTAGAGAAAGGAGAAACAAACGATTTCCCGGATCAGACCGATTTCCGTTCCAGGTAATCATGTAGTCATACCGGATGCATTCCGTTCAGTTCCTGGACGCGATTCGAGTCAGACCGGTCCAACTCGACACGCCGATGACGAATAAATTACTAACGATTCGACGACATCCAAATCAATTACTGCCAAAAGATGACCAGTCTTGCCGTAAGTGGGCGATCCACTAAACCAAAGGAAGGCTGACGGCAAGGAAAGGTCAGGCATTCCACGAATGCCGGGAAATTGCGCTTTCACCGGTTGATCGGGGTCTCAGACGTCTTAGACTCCGATGGTCCCGCAATTCATCCGGCTTTGCTGCTACTCTGTCCTTGGATGAGTTTCGTCGCACTCGTCTAGATGCATTCCGTCGCACTTGGTTGCGTCACTTCCACGGTGGTCTGCGGCAGCGGTCCCCAGACTTTTTGAGGCGAGGGCCTCACCTATTCCTTGAGGGGGCCGCACAATAGCGTTAGTCGACCTGAAAAAGTGGGCTGCATTGGAAAGAATCCAACAATTCTACAGTATTAATCCTACATCTGGACATCGACCTCTTGGTCAAGCTATTCTAAACCAGGAAGTCCTCTTTAAAAAAAAAAATGAGCGGCAATCGAAAACTATTTCTTCTTAACTTCATTTATTTGCGAGGAAATACATTTTTCTCTGCAGTAAATGGGTACCCCAAATTTTAGGCAAGTTCAGCGGGTGCACACCTAAATATAAAAGCATTTAAATGCAAGCATGTATTACAAATATCTATCTAAACAATGACTAAACTTGCTACTTTTCAGCGAAGAATTTCAAGAGTGAAATTACAAAATGTGTTCGCGATTATTCGTGAATGTCGATAAAACGGTTAAATGATAAAAAAAAGTCAACTATTAGTTAATCTCAGTGGGCCGCAAGCGGCCCGCGGCCCGCACTTCGAATACCGCCGGTCTACGCCAACGCACTAGCTGAGCAGAAGGCGCAGAAAAAGTGAAAGTGCAAAGAGCTAAATACCAGATGCAATCAACCTTCTAATGGACATTTGTCATTCAAGATTCAATATTAGCGATGCAGGATTTCTCAACTTTATCAAGGCCGTAAGGTCTCACATTTTCCTTGTGTCCCCGAAGTAAAAGGGAGTCAGAAAAGAAGTGGCTCATGATACTGACATCCCATTTCCTCTGTCAGCGAGAGTGGAAACAGGATGTCGGTGCTTTGGAGCTCGTCCACTCAATGGACAAAATGTCGGAGCACGTTGTTTGCGTCAGCGGTTCTACTTAGACTAATGGAACTGCTTGCTGTTTTAAAGCGGTCTCACATAAGCATGATTCAAGTTCAGACCTGCATCTGGGGCGCGGGACGGACCAGATTTTTCTCTTTTGTCTCTCTTCCTGTCTTCTTGCCACAATAAACGCTCCATTCTGTGCTCACGCTCTCCTCGTTCCAATGGATGTATTCAAAAGAATTACATCGTGAAAGGGGACAGTGTTCTCGCATGAAGGATATGAATAATAAAATTCAACGTGACCACAGAAATTATTGTAATATCTGGTGATTGGATGTACATCTTCATTGAAAAGTGCCATGTCAATTTTAAAATATTCTCTGAAATGGGAGAAACACACCACAAAACTGCAATGGACACTGAAGAATCTCAGAAAAAAATTACAAGAACTAAAAATGAGATATTAAATGAATAGACAACAAAGAAATGACCGTGCAAAGACAACAGCAAACATACATGATCAAATGCTATATGACTTGATTTTTTTTTGTAAAAAAAATCTCTCTGAGCAGTTATCAGGATCTCTACAACCATGAAATCCTGTTCTGTTAATGACCACAAGTTTCATTTCAGGGGAAGATGCTGCATGAACGCAGGTACCCCCTACCACACTTCAGATGGAAAAAATCACTTGTCACATTGTGACTAAATATTCTACTAGTGTCTCTTGAGCCTTGAGCTTGGCTTTTGTAGTACAAATGGCAAAAACTAATGGAGAGAAAATCGAAACGCCATCGAAATGAGTACAAAATCACTGTGATGTGGAACAGGACTTAATCTTGCAAGAGAGAAGCTGAGGAATAATGGCTCTTCTGGAACCCATGGTTCTCTGTCAGCGAGATGAGGGGGATTCAGAGGCTGAAGGAGTGATAGAAATACAAATGATTCTGAACTTTAAAAGGAGCTTTTCACAGGTGAAAACTTTGGTTGTTATGATACATCAAAGGCATAGCAGGTATCGCAATGCATTGGTCGCTTGAGTAGTACAGAGCCAGAATCAAAATCTGTAGGTGCATATATGATGTGTGAGATAGAACCACAGAATCTGGAGAATATTGAGGGGGAGAAAAAAGGTGAAGGACTGTAAAATATTGAAAGTCATCCTGGAGAGGTTGTTCTTTTGTTATCTTATTTTTGTGCCCTATCTGCCTGTGCTGGCATCCAGCCACTTACTGCACAAGATTAATACACAGGGCATTATACACCATGGATTAAGCAAGGCTCCAAACCCAACTCAAAATTCTCTTCCCCACTGTACCTGTTCTTGCTGAAGCACTTGACCTTTGGCTGCAGGCTTCATATTAATCAGGAAGGGCTTATGACTCCATTATGAGCATTTGCACTGAAATCATAACAGTCGTCATCCTGGTTTGATATCAGTTCCTCTCTCCAAAATGAACAGAGCCTGTAGCATGGTCCTAGATGAAGTAGCAAAAAGTTGCATCTTGTTCAGAAAAACAGCTGCAGATTCAAAGCATCCTCTCCCTGAAGCACCAGAGGATACAAACACTGCATCGAACAGGTTACTTCTTCATTAAAGGACTTTCAACAGGTAACTTGGATGACACAGTCTTCCTAAGCAATACCAAAAATAGGTAGACAGAATGCACCATTGCTGTGCACAATGGCAGTTCTTAATCGACAACACCTTCTGCTTCCAGCTACCCCCTTTGAGCCGAGACCAGTCGTATGAGCCCGAGCCATAAATGTGGCTAACTACTTATTCATAGTAACTGATTCCTGCTTCAACTTCTAAATTAAAAAATACCAGCATGACCCTACTTCCCTTTCAAGCTTTCCCAGAGGAATGGGGTTTGAGGGAGACCTAGACTACTGCCTCCTCCCCCAATCCAAACAAGGGGGATCACAAATATGGAAGATGCAGGCTCAGTGGCAGACCAGTCCTACAGGTAGGCCCTGTACAGTTACACAAGTAGCACTCACAACATGACATACAGTAGATCACAGTTTCCAACTTCACAGAGAGGATTAAAATTTTAAAGGAAACATGGGAGGTGTAATTTTTCTCCGATTTGCCAAGAAAAATTGGAGTTTGAATTTCAGGAAAATGTACCAGCACCATTTCTCTGATATTGTCCCTCAAAGGAAGAACATGGTGACCCATAGAAGGGAAGGGTGAATAAAATTCACTGGGGTGCTCGGTTTAATATTCCCACTGCTAATACAACAGATGTTTTACATGACATAGAGGAAACAAAAAGTAAAACAGTGAGATGGATGCCTCTTTCACTTTTTCTCACTCTGAATATTAATTCTGCACAGAGATCACCTCCACCCCCTATGGACATGGAGATTATTACATAAGAGATAAAATGTTTCTTTCTTTCTTTCTTTGGCTTTTTGGCTGATAGTGACCAGTGAGGCAGAGCTGCATATTTTAAAATCCTGGATCACAAATGTGCTTAAACTTGATGCTGAGAGCGGATGATTCTCCTCGGACCTCGATTCGGTGGGCCTCTCGGCTTGGCAAATGCAGGCCGATGCAGGTTCCGACATGGGTGAATCTCTTCAAACAGGAACTCTTCTGTCAGCTCACCCACTTCACTCACCTCAAGCTAAAGTAAAAGTCATGAAATCAAAAATTTACTGACCATCTAGGTCCATACCATACCTAAAGTTGGAAAGAAGAAAGATTTGCTGCCTATGTCACTAACAAGCTAAGTAATTCTCCTTGGATGAAACTGAAAATATTCTTAAGTGTGGAATTATTCCACATTTAATGCCAATCTGTTTCACTTCCATGCAAGAAGTAATTCAGATTTATTATTATTATTTTAGATTATTTTTCTGGAAAATATCCGTGGTCCTGGAAAAAACACCAAAGACTGTTTCTGAGAAGTTAATCCTGTAAATCTGAGTGCAGTTAGTCCAGAATTCTAATTCATCTAGATAGATTGTCTGGTTCTCAGAGCCCTTTTTTTATTATTACAGCAGGCGTATTTAGAGAAAAGGGATGTTTTCTTCTCATTTCTGTTCACCTCTCTCACCCCTTCTTTTATCAAGAAATTGTAGAGGAAATCGCACCTAGATTAATTCTCCCCTTTTATTCCCCACCATGAAGCAGGCACACAAGAAAGAGAAGAAAAGGAACTAGCACTCCCTCCTCTTATCAATTGCTGTGCTTGAGCATTTGTCTACCCTTCCAGACACCATACTCACCCCACCCCTAATGCATATTCACACACATGAACCCCCATCTAGTCCACATTCACCTTCCACATCTCAACCATATTGGACTCCTTTCACTCCACATCAGCCTTATTCCTGCTTGGGCTTTCCATTTCAGTTTTGAGAATATAAATCCCATTTGTTATCATATTCCTCCATTCCTCCTCTCCTAAATATTTAGACTCTTCTTAGAAAGAATCTGTTTACTTAGCATAGAGCACAGCAAAGAGCTTTCCTCTTCGGAAAAGTCTTAAAAAGTGAGGGATTGCTTGCACAGATTTAACCGAACATGGATGAAAATCTCCAATCCTCCCAATTAGAGAACAAAGAACTCCTGCAGTTGTGAGTTGAAAAATTAAATTGAAAAAAAGGTAGCAGTTGTAAAGCATTTGCAACTTGATCTGTTTTAAGGGGCATCCAATACAAAGAGTCACTCTTTCGGTAGGTCCTTCTAAATACAATGCAAGAAATCTGCAGAGATCTATTTTGATCCGACAAATGACTCCTCTGATACTTCAGGGTTATTTAATGTAACAAAAAACAAAAAAAAGCCAAAAAGAAAAAAGAAAGCAACAAATGCCTTCTTTTCCAGAGAGCAGTTTGGTCCAGTTTATCAGGAACATCATGTAATGATTTTCCAAGAAAAAAAAAACTCAATTATTGCTGTAAAAAGACAGACTATTATTACATGGAGCTACAGGGACCAAATCAAAATAGTGGCTGAGTATCAAGGAAGGTTTTTGCATAATATCCAGTCTTAGAAATGTTTCCTTTGGCCTTCACAAAGGTGCTAAAAAGGTGTTTCACTAAAGGTACACACAAACAGACCTTTTTGATGACAGGGATCCCAAACTCTTTTTCTATTGACTCCAACACACGAGCCTTGCAGCTTGAGTAAAGCATGCGCTCCCGAATGCTACAGGTGTATCCAGGCATGGAGTAGATAAACACTAAGGAAAGAACAAGAACCAACCACTTAATGGAAGTAGGGATCAGTTTCACAGATTGACAATCCAGCAGCAAAATAAGCAATAAACCACTGTAAACACTGGCAGAAAAAAATGCAAAGCCATGGCACACTGGGTTGAAAATTAGCTTTCATACTAACATCCTGTGAAATCTGATATAATAGTTATCAACAAAAAAAAGAGTGTTATGCCAAAAAGGACACCTCAACTTCTGTTCAGTATTTCAATGTAGAATATCCACAAGGAGAAAATAATTATTTTCCAAGGAAATACTGTACACTACACAATGTCATGTTCCACACTCCATGCAAAAGGAGCTGATTGGACATCTGCAAAAATACTCACAGCTATTACTCATTGGACATTAGGGAGATTTGTTGGTCAACAATCAGCTGATTACTGGTGGGGTTGCCATAAATTGCCAATTCAGTTGATAAGAGGCTCAATACTTTTTGCTTCTCAATATAGAAGAGACTAAGAAGTGACAAAATCTTGTGGGCCTGCTCTTCATATAGACAGGCATCCAAGATACCTATGTCCTTTAGAGGAAAATAATTTCCCAATGTGAGGAGTCAAGTCAAATATCAATAACCAAAGAGCAAATACCAATTATAGTAATACCTAAGATGCACAAAAAGGTCTAACATGCTGACACACTGGCCCAGATAATGTTACAATCACATGACAAACAGTGTAATGCAGGTCCACCTCCTCCTCCTCCTCCTCTATGCAAAATGCTTCTTACCAGGACTTTCTAAGTAGTCTCCCTCATAAGTGTGCCTGAATCGAAAGAGATGAAATCGGGCATGGTCCTGTGGGACTTCCTGGACCATTGCTGAAACAGTTGATGCATTCCTCACATTCTCTGCATTCACCATCTCCTCTTGGAGATCTAGGAAAAATATATAGTAAATATGGATGTAAAGAAGAAAAGTAGAAAAATTAGGAAGGCAACCACAACCATCAGTATTCATTGCAAGAAAGTATACGAGGCACCAGCAGATACCACAGGAACTAATAAATATTATCAGTCAGTAAAAGATAAATCAAATAAGTTACCTTTACCAGCCAATACTTTCTTCTACAAGAAAAACAACTTAATCTTATTTTTATGTAATGATGGCAAGCTATCAACACCAAAAGCATTAGAGAGCATACTAACTGAACTTTACATCATTGTGCATTGACAGTGGTAGAGCTAGACTGGAAGTGGGGAATCCCTTATCTCATGCAGAGTTTTGTTTTTCATTTCACCCAAAGCAAAAACTGTTGCCTGACCTATGCTGAGCTGAACATAGTCCAAGGAGCAGTCTCGGAAGGCACGAAGGCGTTGGCGGGCATTGGGGGACATGGGGAGGGAGACCCCAGTCAAACTCTGATGTTTTGTATCCACCCCAATGTCTGAGTGGCCTTCTGTCTTCTTCAGGTCAGCTAGTTCCTGCTCTGATGCACTCAGTGGGGCTGGGGCCTGTTCATTCTGCTTATGTTGCCAGTAACCTTGCAAAGACACATCATCCTGCAACAGCCAGGAAAAAAGCATAGAAGTAATATTCATGTCTGTGGACATCATGTATGAGAACAGGATACTCAGAACTTCTCCAACTGGCATACGTCTTAGGTTATATCAGACATGCAGGCTAAAAAAAATGTATATAAGTAAATAATTAAATCTAGCAAGAGTATGGAAACCTTTAATGGCATAAATGAAAGATAAAATAAATATGTTCATGGCAGATTGAAGGAAAAGCTCAAACAGATCGGGTGAAGTATATTGTGCATTTTTGACTTTGCTTTCATAGTTGCTTGTTGTCTTCTAGTCATAGAGATGAGAGAACATACTTTTGTTGATCCAAAGAGCTCCTCCTTGATCTGCCCACTGCCAAAGCTCTTCTTGAGGGTGGCCTTGGTGGAGGCATAGAGCATCTTCTCCCGAATGGGGGAATCATCTGGGGACCAGCTCACCAGCAGCCATTCATATCCTGAGTTCCCTGACCTGTCTAACCTGTAGTCATCAAGGAAGAGATTAATGGAGGAACTGGAACATTTATGCTGATTTGAGCAAATTAATTTTGTTGGTCCAGTGTGCTCAAAAGAGAAATTGGGAAGCACAGACCGTATATCTAAGCTGAATGAACTAAAATACCATCGCTAAGTCCAACAGGATGCATCATATGATTATGGTACATTAACAGTTCACAGATACTGCAATAAGTTAGGCTAACAAATTTCTGAAAAAATATTTAAAACACCTAAGTTGAAATATACCTTATTTAAGATTCCCTTTCCATAGGTTCTTCAATAGCTACTTCATGAAAACTGACCTGTAGAGAATATAGCATGGTTGCTTGTCCTTCACAAATGGGAGAATGCAGCGGTCATAGTCATCTTCCCAGTTTCCAGCGGTATTCTTAGATCCATCAAGACACAGCTCCTCTGCATCAAAAATGCATTGTGAAAAATCCAATGATGAATGGTCCTAACTGAGGCATCATCAAAAGTGCTCAAAAAATGAAAAATAATGCTGATTAGAATACAAAAAAGCAAAGATTTGGAGTGGAACTAAACCAAAACAATACTAAGAAATCCACCTTAAATATAAACTGATGTCTTGACTTTTGCCTGACTTAGTCACTCAGTTTAACCTAATAAGAAATATGTTTGGTCTAATATGAGGTGCTACAATGTATGGAATCTTGCCTCTTACCATGCTCCATATGAGAAAAGGCAATAAAAGTGCATATGGATGAAAGAACCCTAGTTTCAAAGCAGACAATACCAGCCTCTACCAACTTCCTTTGAACTACAGTGATAAAGATGTATTTCTTTTAAAGATTTTTTAATTTCCTATTCTCACCAGACCAACGAGGATTTGAAAAAGATGTAAGACTGTAGTGTGAGAATGAGACATGGTTGCTCTCTCAATTTTCATAATAAAACTATCTTCCACCTTCTCCAACCTTCAAATTAAATCATTCACTAAGTTAGATTACAACCTACATCAAACAGTTAAACGAAACTGAATTGTTAATTATATTTCTCATACCTAGGCCTACTGAAGGCATGATTCAAGAAATGCATATCCTCTCTTTTGGAGATGATGACTCATGCTGAGATAAAGAGGGGTCTGATGAATCATGCCTGCACAAGCCTGGCCTAGTTGTCCACGAATCATACAATGGGGGAAAATGCTTCTGATTTATAGAGGAAACTAACCATTTTTGATGGAGATCTTCATAGATCTGACGTCGCCTCTCCTGCATTTTCCAAAGAAGTCCCTCAACTGTTGGTTAGCTTTCAAGGGAGTAAAAAAATACATATTTACGTCACTCCCATTACCGTAAGGCCTCTTGCACTGAAGCAAATACCAAATGTAAGTAATGGCCAAAGACAGGCTCTAACTCTTGGAAGAGTCAGCATAATAGCATGCCGCTTCGAGATAGCTATTTTTAAAAAATCTAGTCTAAACGTTCTCCACAAAGAATTCGGACGAGCTTACCTGTGATTCCTGTTTGGTGTGACATCGTTACCTAGACTAGTTTTGGCGAAGTCAGTTCGGTCTCAATCCTGAATAGTCCCACGAACCTCCTTCGAGTTGTCTCCGTGTCTCTTCCTAGCTATGTCCCTGGGCGGCGACATTAGACGATCAGGGTTGCCAGATCCTTTGAATATCCCAGAACACAAAACTACCTTTCACAACCTGATAGATAAACTATGGCCGTTATTATTTCTAGATACGTGGGGAGACCCCAGCTCATATTTTCGCGATGAAGAGATATTCTTAGCACGGGGAAAGCCACATGCAAGCAGTTTTAGCTTTCACGTTTCTGTAGAATAGAGAGAAAAGAAAAAGGACTGGATTTTAACTTGAAACTAAATCTCCAGAAAAATTTCCTGCAACAGTGTGACCTTTGAGAGGCACTCAGACGACGAGCAATAACGGCGATGTTTTCTATGTTCAGAGACAATCAATTCTTAATAATAATAAACAAAGCACGGAAGATGGAGATCCGAGTCAGTCAGTGGGGGGGTGCTTACTTCTCCTCGCCCAGTGGGTGGGGGTGGGGGTGGGGGGGAGGGGGGCGTATGCATTTAGACTGGAGTTGGGGGGGCTTGAACTTTTGTTCAAGGACAGAAGGACAGAAGGCAGAAGGCTTGAGGGACAGAAGACCCCTCCCCCCCCTCGCTACGCCGCTAGGAAATGTCAGAAGTGACGATGCTGAACTGCGAATCTTCAAAACCGATTCGGAAATGTACCTATAAGTTCGTTTCATTTTCACACAGTAAATTTTTGCTTGGGTGATTATCCGCGACATTCCCCAGGTTGGTACTGAAAATTGAAAGGAACTAAAAAAAAATGTTAAGGGTACTGCGAACGTAAAACCACAAAACAATTGACAGACCTCGAACTGTTCCTGGAGTGGCAAGCTGCAAAAAATATATATACCGGCTGAGAACTCGCTCCACACTGACACTTTGCAGTGAATCGAAGTCGGATGAAATGAGAGGAAATCGCGTCTTCCGGTGAACGCAAGGGGAAAGTAGAATCCCGCTCGGTACAAATAGAATAATATGGGTTCTACCTTTGGAAGTTAGGGAAAAGCATCACAGAAGCTTCGCGTTAAGCGCACTTAGTGCGTAGGAAATAATTGAAAAACGTGCCACGGCTTTTCCATATTTGGCTCCTAAATCGACATCGACAATGCGCATTTCGACGCCCGAGCAGTCCTCTACTCCCCGTGGACGTGCCGAGGCAGATCTGGTCCGCGTCGCAGGGAACGGAAGCGAAATGCAAAGTTTGCCTGGTACTGCCAACCCCTTTGCTTTCTCTATGGGTCGGAGGAAGTCTCTCGTCTCTGGCCTCCTCGCGGGAATGAGATTAGCTCCCATATTTGTGGTTGTTGACGAGTAAGCCCAGTTTTCTGGGTCAAAAATTATTCAGAGTTCGAGGAATCCCCCGATTTCGTCACATTACGTCACACCGGCGCCGTGCTTTGTTTCCGTTGTATAAGCGCTCGCATTCGCCAATGACGTCTGTGTCGACGTCTACAATGGATAATGTCGTCATTGTGTTTCGTTTCCGTGCCGCGCGGTCTGTCCTGTCGACAGCTGCGGTTATTGCGTCGAGAAAACAGTTCATTCTGACCTTGGCTTTTGTCGCCATGCTAAATACGGAGCTGTTGGCGCCGCATCACAGTCGACACGAATCAGGTCGACAAACAAACGATCCAGAAGTTTTATCATTTTCGACCAATTAAAAAATTATTCTTGACGAAATAATTGTTATGGTATTTTTCACCGGATTCTCCAGAGTTTTTTCTGGAAAATACTTGGTAACGAAGGTTTTTTCCTTTCTCGAGTTCAACAACAACGCGATTCAAATGGCAGGAAAATTCCGTCGCGCTGGGCATACCAGAGATATAAAATTCCGTCGGAAAAAAGGAGAAGAAATCGCCTCCCATGGCAACCCTGCATCAAAGTGCAACCACTAGAGACCACCCAATCGGAACTCACCCTTCCCCCGTGCAACCCGAACGGCACCAACCAACACACACCTTCACTCCCCGAGCGCTTGACCGCGACTGCCAGGCCAGCCCAGCGGATGTTCGCTTCCCCCCTCCCCCCCCCCCCCTCGATTCCCGCCCTCGGACGAAAAGCGGGAACCAGACCGACGACCCACGGAGCCCCCCACGCAGTCGCTTCCGAGCCGGGGGAAGACGAGGACCCCTTTCGACGTCTCTCTCGACGTCTTTCAACATCTCTCGACTCCACATCTCACCGTAAGGACTCGTCTTTCGAGCAGATTGAATTTGAACCACGTCTCGGAGAGGAAAGGAAATTTGGAAGCATCTCACGAAGGAAAGCCTGCTCTACAGGCAAGATTAAGTTTTAAGCAGCGTCTCTTCTTAAGTCTTCGCTTCTCAAAATTCTCGCGAGGAAAAAGAATTAACTAAACTCATGGAGGCCTTGCATTCGACCATCATCTTTAAATATCGCCAAGAGCAGCTCAGTTTTTCATCTATCGGACACGAAGAAGGAACCGAATGAAATCGAAAGCAAACCAATTTAAATTCCGAGCTTCCACCTTTCCCTGGCTGTCCGTGGACCTTCTCCAATTTCCTCTTTCACGTTGCCTTCCTGATTACTCCTTGGGCGTACAAGGCAGACCGTGGAAGCGAAATTCGATCGACAGAAAAGTTACGCCCTCGTCGCCACGTGCGGCCCCTCCCCCTTTTCGCCTTTCTTAATCTCACTAAGAAGGCGAAGGAAAACTCGATTGGGAGAGGGTTTCGCCGCGGTGTCACCCCCCAAGTCATCGACGGAGGAGGCCAGAGCCACCCGGCATTCTCCTAGCGGCGAATATGAGGATCTCATCGCGGGGGGATGGAATGATGGCTCATGGAATGATGGCTCATGGAATTCATTTCCCGAAGGAGATCCTTCATCCCCAGCCTTTTTCTGCCAAAATTAATGGAACCAATAGACGAGCCGCTATCGAGGTCATGGCCTAGTCACAAGAGAAAAACACTCGTTTTCCGCGAATATGCTATTCCGATCTGCACCCCAAGGATTTTTCCTTTTTTTCCGATCGGAGAGATTGACGATATATCGGTATCGATACATTTGATCGGCGATATCGATCCCCTTAAAATCGTATAGCCCAACCCCAAGCAAGTCCAGCAAACAAATCAGACGCTAATCAAGACTCCCTCGTTCATTATCCAGGTTGGAGAAGGTGAATGATTTTCCTCTGCGACGTATTAGTTCCCTCAGATTTTTCATCGGTTACCCTTCAAGATCGCAGGGGCACCGATTTTTTTTCCCATTTGAACCTGGTCTCGGCACCTAGAAGAAAATTGCAGGGGTGCAGCCCCAATTTCAGAATATAGTCCTTAAGTTAATAATAATAATAATAATCATAATAATAATATAATATGCAAGGGTCAAGCGTGGGCTTTCTGATGCCCACCCCGTCATTATGGGGCCCAACTTAATAATTAAAAAAAAAATTATTAAAAAACGCTGAACCCTCTCAGAGAACGGTTCCATGGCAGGATCATTTCACCGCCAACTTTTGTCGGCGGAACGTCCAACTTCGAGCCGCGTATCTACAATGGAACTATTTCTTCTCTGAACATTTGAAAATCTGAGACATCACGATGCATCGCCCAGGATCCCCCGTCATGCGCTCGCGAAGGCGGAAATTTTCTCTCCGCGGGATTAACAATCGGAAAATCCGCGCCAAGACTCAGAATTCCCCCTCGCGACATTCATGGGAGCGACATCCCCCCACCCCCCTCCCCCCCTCCCCCACCCCTCCCCCCAGCACGAGAGAAATCCACTCGACGGGACAAAACTCGGTGACTCGACACGATAGGATGAGCTCGTGCCTCCTGCTCTGCCTTTCCCTCCTTGGATTCCCCTCGGAGACCGACTCGGGACGCAGCTGCCCGACCACGCCTTCCTTCGCATCATGTACAAGGTCGTTCCGTCTATTTCATTTCTATTTCTTCATTTATTTCTATTCTTCTACTATGATGTGGTACCGTAATCGAAGCAAGCACGAAGATGAATCGAGTGCTCGTACGGTCGTACGATTAGAAAGAGAAGGAGCAAGAAGAACACGCGGAAAAAGTTCCAAGTTTCTTCGTTCCGATATGAACGTGTAATGATGTGAAAGACAATTTTCAATGGCTTTCCCCTTCTTCAACCCCCCCCCCCCCCTCCTCACCCCACCCTTCTCTACGGGACCCACTAACGTTAGGCCTAGGCTTAACCAACGGAATGCCTTCACGTCACCCCAAAGCCTACCTTTTTTCTTTCAAAATANCCCCCCCCCCCCCCCCCCCCTCCTTTCCCTTTCTTCAACCTCTCTACGGGACTCACTTTTGGCCAAGCCCTAAAGAACGAACTGCCTTCATGTCAAGCCTAATTTTTTTCTTTCAAAAGAAACTCAATTCTCGATTTACGGGGTAAATTAGGGTATAAGGGTGAATCCGTGGCCACAGCCTCCCCCACCCCCCCAAAAAAAAAACGGAGATGGAGCTTCAAATTTGGTGCAGGTATTCTGTTTTGAGAGCGGAAGAAACATGCCTAATTTCGTTGCTATTGATGCTCTCGGAGAGGAATACGAGGATGTTGAATTTTGCTGCTGGAAGGGGGTCGAGGAAAGGTAATAGGCGCTACCAAAGCCTATTCGTTCCCTTCCTCGTCCTTCATCGTCCGAGGTATTCCGTGCCGACCGATCGTCACTTCGCTTTCAGATACGCCCACGTCGTGCGGATACGGAAACGGGTCCTCCTGGAGCGGATCGGAAATCTCCCCGACGAGTCGACCGACCCAGGCGGAGCGACTCTATGATTGGGTCGCAAGGGCCCTGTACGCCGCCTGGCAACACGTGTGGGGATCGAGCGCTGCGACCGCCATCCACGCGGTCGCGAACCGGTCGATTCCGGAGGCATCGACGGAAGACCTCGCGGATTCGCTGATCGTGGGAGGCGAGTTCGTGCGGGACGGGGAGGCTCCCTTCGTGGTCCGTCTCTTCGCCGCTTACGCGACTTCTGGCGTGTTGTGCGGTGGCTCGGTCATCAACGAGAGGAACGTTCTCACCGCCGCTCACTGCCTCGTGAGTACGTGAGTCACCTCTTTTGTTCGAAGATGGGTAGTCGACTGGCTTCCCGCATCTCACCTCTCCCTGCCCTCCATTCACTCGAATGACAGTGGAAAGAGGATGAACGGGTCTTCCGTGGCCTTTCGACGACTTCGCCGTCGAGAGGATTCGAGAGTGAAACCCCCCAAATCTTCCGTTACCATTTTTAATCCGATCCTTCCGGTCCTCCGGTCCCTCGGCGCCCAAGTTTTTCCAAGACTCCCGCAGGAAACACGATACGAATTCGAGTTTGCGTCTCCGATCAGAGATCGCGGTACTTCGGGACTTCTCTGCTGCCGTTTCGAAAGTCTCAACATTTCTGCTCGATCGAATAACGTGATGAGGGATTCCGAAGTTATTTTGGCACAAAAACGGGCAAAATTAGTGGATGCATCGCTACTCGTCCTTCCGTTTGCTTACTTTCAGATTTCAACGTATTATTTCCGATTTTGATTATTCATTTGTGAACATCCGCGATGCAAGCAAGAATGACGGAAGGAGCGGTTCGGCTCAGAGGTGAGTGTGAGTCCCGCTTCACGCGTGATTCACGCGGGACTCACGACCACCCAAGCAGCATGTTCACGTTAACACGACATCAATTTTTTGCAAACAATGTAAATTTCTTGCGATTGCCATTTGACATTTCTGCAAACATGTTGACATTTTCGTGACAATGGTTCGCGTAAAAATTATATAAAATGGACGAAAACTTTGCATTCATTTTACGTAAAATTAACATAAACATGCTGTTTTGGCATTTTCGCGAGTCTCTTCCATTTGAAAGTTGGAACCCTTGGGAAAAGTCCGAGACTTTCGCCTTTTCTCGTGCAAGCGTTTTCCTGGAGAAACCGAATGAAACTTGTTTTTTTCCTCCCTATCATTCGCTGCCTGAGAGCAGGCTTTCCCTGTTGGGCGGAGCATGCTTATGCAAATGAGGTGCTCTGTGTTCTCGCTAGTTCCATCCCAAACGTGAGGGATTTTTTATTTTCCGGGTGCTCTGCGGAATTTTAAAATCTATCTCTGAAAGTTTGGACATGATTTTTCTCTACGAGAACTTGCGAGCAAGCAACTACCGCGTAAATCAAGAGTCATCCGGATTCTACACAGTTTCTTACTATTTACTATTTTAAAGTACAATCACCGAAGGAAATGTTATCATTTTGAAAGGGGAGAGAAAGGGTAGAGCCGTCACGAGTGATTTTGCGTGAGTTCAAGTCACGGTCGCAGTGATCGAGCGTATCCGTGAATCTCAAATGATATTGACTCAGGGGATTGCGTGAAAATGAGTAACAACACGGTTTTACTCTTGTGATCGTGAGTCGAAAATCACTCCCGCGCACACCTCTAGTTTGGCTTTTCCTTCTTTTTTGCGAAATGGGCGCTAAGTTTGCAAACTACGCGTGTATGTAAGTGCAAAAATGAGTTCCCAGTGCGATCCCCTACGATAATTAAGAGTTTGGAACTCCGGCTGTAAGCCATTCAGGACCCAGTGAGGACCTTCTGGGAATTCACGGGAAGCGAGGTCCGGTGAGCGCGGAGGACGTGGGAGCGACCGCTCGGAAAGGGTCCGGTTTCCCCATGGCTTTGCGAAGGCCGTCCTCCTTCCCTCCTTGTCCTTCCTCCTTTCCTCCTTGTCCTTCCCCCTTCCCTCCTGGTCCTTCCCCCTTCCCTCCTTGTCCTTCCTCCTTCCCTCCTGGTCCTTCCTCCTTCCCTCCTTGTCCTTCCTCCTTTCTTCCTTGTCCTTCCTCATTCCCTCCTGGTCCTTCCTCCTTCCCTCCTGGTCCTTCCTCCTTCCCTCCTTGTCCTTCCTCCTTTCCTCCTTGTCCTTCCACATCGTCGACGGGTTCCCGCCCCGAGAGAAATCGGTCGAGTCACCGACACGAGGGAAATAGGACAGGGTCTGGCTGGCCCACCAAGAAATTTCCCGGGGGATCCCCAGACCAAAGTGCCCTCGATGCGGGGGTCCCTTGGTCGGCATAATGAGGGGGGAAAGGGGGGGGGGCGGAGGGGCGGGGGTATTGTCAGGAATTTCCCGGGAGGCCCCTAGGTCGCCAGTCCGACCTTGTATGAGGATTTCAATGGCGGGATTTCCTGGCGCGACAGAGCTTAGTGGCAGCAGAAAGTGGACCTCTTCCATTTCGACATTATCCGCCAAGTTCTGCAGCACCGTTTCCACCCTTTTCTCTGGGGCATCCGAAGAATCAGGTGCATGAAGAAACTAAATTTGCTGATTTCCGGGAAACAAGGCGAATCGGGCAACTCTCTACGGAACGAGGGCAAGAACGGTCGCCAGATTGAGGCATGCCGCCGTTGATTCCCGTTTTTATTTTTCATCAGTCTGTTATTTTTCTCTTTAGAAAGTACCAAAAAAAAAGCACGAATATTCTTCTCGGATGGGCAGCGCCAAATCGCTCTTGGATCGATAAGTGTGCGTTTCTAAAAATCATGCTTTATAAGAAATTGAAGTTTTTGCTATATAAGAGACTTTTGATGACTCCGCAATGAAGGAGAAACCATCGAAATATTCTTTTTTAAGTGGGCCTCCTTTGCTGAAAGAAAAAAGATCACTTATAGTCCCGTCCTGTCCGTCCGTGTGTCCGTGTGTGCGTGTGTCCGTGTGTCCGTGCGTCACACTTGGCCTGTCCGACGATGACTAAAAAATATTGGTCTGATGAATGCGAAAATGGGCAAGCGGGTAGATATGAACAAAGACATCGGCTGAGTTCGTTTTGTGGTGAATTTTAACCAAAATTGGCATATTTATTGCAAATGTTGGATTTGAAATTTGATAACGGAGAGGAAGCCATGAATACAGATGAGCCCTTCAGGATGAAGATCACAATGCGCATGCGCGTGGGACCCAGGCTTTGAGCGCGGCGCCGTGTCAGCAGCCAGGGCTGTCAGTTCCCTGCGGACCTTCGTGGCGGGTGGATGCGATGGCGCGGGGGGCGAGGGGGTTCCGTCGTCGGTTTGTGGGGGCTGTTGATCTGTGGTTACCGGATATGAATGAGAAATGAGGTTTTTGATGGTGGAAGACGGGGAAGAGACATTGTTTTGTGCAGTCAGGGGATAAAATGAGGGTTTCCAGGGGTTTTCTTAACTTAAAGGAGGCCCGCTACTGGACTGGGCTTGCCCGACTTGTTTTTAAGACCGACGCTCGTTCCTGCGCAGGTCAGGAAAAGCCACCGGCGGACGCGCCTATGCGGGGACGAATTATTTCAGCACCGCGGGGGGCATCGTCACGGGACCGACGGCGCAGACTAGCACGTTTTCAGGGTTTTCATATCATGGCGGCTGGGATCCGAGCAAGTTTTCGTTCCGGTTCGCTTCCGCGTCGACGGCGCCGTCGAGAGTGAACCCGCTCTTTTCTCCGTTTTCCAGCGAAACCGTTCAGCGGCAACGACATCGCCATTGTTCATCTCTCCAGAAACTTCACGTTCGACGATTACGTCCAGCCGATCTGCCTGCCGTCTTCGGACGAGAAAAATCTGGACGGATGCACGAATTACGCATACGGATGGGGGGCCACGTCCGCACCGAGTCTCTATCGCGAGTTCTTCGTGCCTGCACAAAATTGCCACGGAGAGTAATCCTTATTGCCTTTCCCAGATGGCGAGCAGAGTCCGAACCTGAAGAAATTGAGAGTTCACGTGAAGAGCATGGCGTTTTGCTCCAGTCCAGGGAAGTCCAAGTCCGGTCAGCTCTGCATCTCGGCGACTGATGGACCGGCTGGTGTCTGCTTCGTGAGTTTTTTTTTCCCCAGTTCGAAGCAGGATTTTCGAGATGACGGATCTCGCCGTTTGAACGGATTGAGGACCGTGAAAGGGCGGTTTTCAGTTTCGTTGTCGCCTCTTTGAAGCTGGTGACGGACACATGCGAAGGAATAGACCTAATGGGGCAATAATTAAATTATTTTTTTCTCCCTAAATCGATTTCACGCGGACTCATGCTTAGTTCTAATTTTCGAATTCATACGCAAGAGTCAGCAGATTGGAATTCAAAATAAACGTACGGAAACGATGTTCTTGGATCTCTCTCTTACCTCACTTAAACCTGTGTATTTTTCAAACGTGTGACGAAACGAATGAACGTGTGAAGCATGGGGACGCTCGAGTTAAACGAAAAAATAAAAGTGGAATGGCTTGCTTCATGCATGTCATTCGTGAATCGATGGAATTTCGCCATCGAAGTGCTATGCCATTCCAGTAAGGTGGAAAATAAATGTAATGGATCCTGTACAGGGAGACAGCGGGGGTCCAGTGGTGACAACCTACAACTGGAGGTCTTTCCAGAGCGGCATCACGTCCTACGGATACACGAGTTGCACGAAGAGCAACGTTTACACCCGGGTCTCCCACTTCAGCGACTGGATAGCCGCAAACGTGAAGTGAAGGCGGGACCGTTCGAGGTTGGGGCTGCACGGGCAACGAGGGAGGCACACTCCCAACGTGACGAGGATGAGACGTGTGTGCGAGGCGGATTTCTTTCTTCTCCGCTAGATGGCGGGTGAAACGAAGGCATGATGTCGGGGACGGAACGCGTATGTATTAAATGTGGGGATGTTAGTGTTGGTTCGTAAGTTTGTTCTTGTTCTCGCCTCGGGAGAGAGCAGTCCTAAGCCGGGTGATGTTAATAGCATGTTTGTAGCATGTTGTCTTTAGAAAGGTACAAAATGAGCCGGAAAGGACTAAGATGATTTTTTTTTCTCATTTCGCGACCGTCCCGAGTTTTAATTATTTGCCGTTTGTGCATCAATCCGAAACTGTTGGGCGGGGATCGTAACCGATTTGTGCATAAAGTTTGATTCTGCGCATGTGTCTGGATTCCATTTCCTCCTGCTTCGTCGCCAAATTAATCGAATTTTTCTTGCATTTGTTGGCGCAATAACCCGGGCAAAATTTTATTTTTCTAGGTTCGCAACACCGGCACCGCCGTTTATTATCTTTATAGGATGAGCCCCTCCCTTTTAATCCCTCCACAAATCCGCCATTTTCAGGACAGGAATGCTCGGTGCACACCCCGAGTAGCATGAGACGTTGATGCAACGATGGTTTGTTTCACGATTGATTCCGTATTATTACTTGTTGCTGCTCTGGCAATGATGCAAAACCAGCGATATTTATTTAATTCAAGTAAATACATGAATGAGGATGTGCACACTGATGATTTTGAAGGGTGGAATCTCATTTTCTCGATTCGTTTGTCGATAAAGTCGACTCGACGGTCGACTCTTTCCCATCACATATTGTCCAAGCGCCGTTTTGTCGACACTATTCGATGCTTTGAGGATCGATCGCATTATATCCGTAGAGGCGAATGCACATCGTATTTCATTTAATAATAATGCATTTTAATTTTCTTCAATTAATTGTACTCGATCCACGTTGCATTTCAGTTTTGTCACCTCAAATAATGAGTGGATTGCTCGATGGCAGTTCCGAAGAAGTCGTGAATCTAAAAAAAAAGGCAGATCAAGCGGCCAACACATCAGAGGTCTATCCGTTTCAAAGTTATGGTTCCCAGAGGAGAAGAGAGTATAATTTTTGTCGCGGTCGACTCAACCGACACGTCAATCACAGTCTCTGAAACAGGAAGAACGATCTTGGTTATTGGTGAATGGGAGACAACGGTCTCGTTGGAAAATTAGAGGGGACGAAATGAAATTTCCAATGGAAAACCTGGGAATTCCTGACCGGATTTTTTTCCATGGTCTATCGCACGCACACCTCGCAGATCCGGTACGCCGGCTCGCACGTCCGTAAGCCTAAACCCGAAAGAACCCTTCTTCGTCCTTCGGATAAAACGACAGCGATTTGACTCTTTCTGACCTGAATTAAGGTCGCTATTGGAATAATATCCTTATTTTTGCATTTTTGAGCTTTTTCGTTATTGTTATTGAAATGGAAATTTCAATTACAATAACGAAAGGGGTAGTTCCTGCAGCAGACTTTGCCGAAGCGGGAAAGTTCATGGCTCAAATTTCATTTCAGCAAAAATATGCTAAGTAAAAGCAGAAATCTGATTTGAAAAAAAAAAATAGCGGTCACCGCCTTGGCAATATAGATCCATGCCAGAAAGATGACGAATTATCGACTGCATGTTTCTCCCTTATTAAAATGCGACCTGATGCAATTAACATCATCAGAGACAGTTGCATGAAACGACCGATCCGATTCCTCTTAAAAAAAAAAAAATGCCAATGAGTCTCGGAGAATTTTCCGTTCACTTTCCACTCGCGGCGTTGATAGTCGAGACAGCCCCGACCCGCAGCGAGACGTAACCGTCGAGTAACCGTTAGTCACCGTCGAGACACCGTTAGTCGACGAGCAGAGAGGAAACCGACTCGACGACATGAGTGCGAAGGCCTTTCTCATTTTCGCGTCTTTTATTGGATTCTCTTCCGGTCGCAGCAGATGCCCGTCCACGCCCCCGTTCGCATCATGTAAGTTTTTTTTTTCCTTCGTCGAGTGTCGGTCGGTCGAAATGTTTTATGTTCATTTCGTGCCGAGTGCGAAGCAAGAGGTGATTTCGTCATCTTTCGCTGAAACCTGTCGTGCGTGCAAAAGTGGGAAGCGTTTCGATGGGTTCCGATCCTCACCGTCGATGCCCTCGATCGTCGACGTCTTTCGCTGATGCAAGCGATGCTAAAATAAGGTAGGCGGCGGACCGGACCGAGCCGCAATGGGCGGTCCGAGTCATTCACGCCTGGTTTCATCCAACCGAGAAAGTGGAATGCGCTGCCGTTCTACGTGAATGCAGTCAAGAGACGCAAGAGAGTCTCGCGTCTTCCGCAGCTAGCGGATAGAAATGCACCATGAACTTTCTTTTCAGATTCGCCGACACCTTGTGGATACAAAACCGGCTTCTCCTCGAGCGAATCCGAAATCGCCGCTCCGATGAATCCGGCGGAGCGGTTTTACGCCTGGGTCGCAGGGCTCGCTTCTGCCGCCCGGGACTACCTGCGAGGATCGAGCGACGCCACTGCCATCTACGTTGTCGCGGACGAGTCGCGCGAGGAGGCGGGCGAGCGGAATCTCACGGATCCGCTCATCGTGGGGGGAGAGTTCGTGCAGAACAGAGAGGCGCCCTTCGTGGTTCGCCTCGTCGTGAGGTTTACGTCTTCGGCTTCGTTGTGTGGGGGCTCGGTGATCAACGAGAGGAACGTTCTCACTGCTGCTCACTGTCTGGTGAAAACGTGAGTCGTTCCAACTTTTTTCTTATTTCGTCCTGGGTTGGCTGAATCTGAAAACTGCGAAGTGCTCAACTACACTGCGTCCCTGCCGCCGCATTGAAAATTGATTATCATCTGGCATTCACATAGGTACTATGGGAAAATGTCAGATATTGCGGTTGGTTTCTCAGTTTTTTTTTTCGTTCCGTCTGTCCGTAGTAACCATAGCGACCGGAAAACACGACCCAATGCGCACGCGCAGCTTTCCACCAGGGTCGGGGTTCCCCGTCTTCCACGAAAACATCCACTTCCCTTCCAGCCATGGCGGTTGACGGATCCATAGTAGACAATGGAGGAAAGCGGCTGCTCCCATCCGCGTGTATAGGGTTGCTAGGCATACACGTGAAATGCCGTATATGGCATCCAACACTTCATATTGTCCTCCCATCTCCACGCGACGCGGACGCACGGACCATCGAGAACATGTCTAATTGTCCAGGCTTTTTCATACAGGCCTATGCCGAACCAATGACAGCTATTATTTTTTTAAGGGTTGGATGATTAAGAAGCGGTATATATTAATTCCAGTGGTACAGGGGCCGATGGAATGCCAGATCTGTACCTGGGCTGGTACTCTCTAGTTTAATTTGTAGTCGGCAAATTTGAGCCGATGATATTTTATCGGTTGGATACCTTAATTGAAAAAGCTATGGCGATAGAGTATTCTTGGGCCAGGATGAGCCCGACCGAGACTAGCAGATGTGAAAACATCAGCCTATGCATCTCCCACCTCATCGCCTTTAGGTGTTTCCGTGTCGTTACGTTTCCTACTTCTTGCATAGGGAGTGGGAAATGAAGTGGATGTTGGATGTGGGAGTCGTGTGAAAAAATGGAGCCGTAAAAAAATGTGTCTTCGTATTCTTGGCACACGAACTTCGTCGTTCCATATCCCCGTCCTCACGGTATCTGGTGCCTGGCTGAAACCCAGACTCCCACGACACAGAGAATCTCATGGCGAACCTCATTCGTTGCGATCTTCGTCATCCTTGCCGGTAGCGACACCGACGCTTCATGGAGTCCAGTGCAACTCGAAGCTGATACCCCTCTTTGCACTGACTTAGACGGTGCAAGAAGGGTGGAAGTCACACGTTTGCTTCGGCTGAAGTCGAGCCATTGCATCCACTTGGATGGATCCTGGGTATCATTCTTCTTCAAATCACATGGCCATACTGAGACGAATCCTAGAATATTCCACCGAGCACACCTATATGGTAGTGACACCGACATTTAAACCGATGCAAACGTGAAGAAAACGATGACGGAAGTTCTCGTTGGCATTTCCCTCCCCTCGGCACTCAGCGCCCGAGCATATGTTACGAGGAGAGGTAACAATCGTCTCGCACCCACATCCATTGTTCGTTTGGCTCCCGATGCAGACGTGTCAGTCTCTTGTCATCCATATGCAAGTGGCATCGTTTAACGGCATCTAACAGCGATGTCTCCAGCCGTGTGCTCTCAGCTTGCAACGTCTGACCGCGATACCAAAAGCATTTTGTTTTCGCCTGGACTCGAGTATCATACCAATCCTCGATCGATAAGAAACCGTATCTCTCATCTTCACGCTGTTAGCATTATTGAAACGAACGAAGGCAGTGACATTTTCCCAATTAGGTCAGAAAAAGCCATCGGCGGATCCGCGATTGCGGGGACGAATTACACGGACACCTCCACAGGCATCATCACTTACGGACCCACAGCGCAGGTCATCCCGTTTTCCTCATTTTCCTATCATTCCAGTTGGAATCCAGGTAATATTTTCTCTCGAAGGCTTTCACGTCGGAGACGTCGTTCCAACGGAAGCAGTCGATTCTCTGTTTTGCAGACAGCGTGGTGAAAGGTTACGACATCGCCATCGTTCATCTCTCTGGGAACTACACTTTCAACGATTACGTGCAGCCGATTTGCCTGCCGACTTCGGACGGCAAAAATCTGGACGGATGCACTAATTATGCATACGGATGGGGGGCCACGTCCGCTACGAGTCCTTATCTTCAATATTCCCAACACATCCTAGAGAAGCTTCCGTTCGATCGCGACGAAGAGTTTTTTAAATTTTCCTTTCCAGATGGACAACAAAGTCCGGACTTGAAGAAGCTGAGAGTCCACGTGAAGAGCATGGCGTTTTGCTCCAACACCGGGAAGCTCAAATCCGGTCAGCTCTGCATCTCGGCGACCGATGGACCGGCTGGTGTCTGCTTCGTGAGTTGCGTTTCGGACACAGCAGCGGCATTTGAAAGAAAATGAGAAGCACGCATCGCGTAATTTGAGTCGCATGAAAGTGTTAAAAAGTGATCATGGAAGTCATGAGTCCTCATTGAATCTCATAAGTAACAAGCGATTATATTTATCAGCATTATCCACGTCATCGTTCTCATCTACGGAAATCCAGTTCATAGAATCGAATCAAGTTAAAAAATTCACTTTCGAGTGGAAT